TTTGTTTATAGCCTTGATAAGTCGAAAACCTCCAAAACTCGAAAAAATGTTTTGTTCCCTTCCCTAAACCTCCATTACTCGAAATCTCAACCCTCTATTAGTCGAAATAATCAGTGAGTCCCTGCAAGCCATTTTGGTACATATTTTCCTTCTATAACTCGAAAAATTAAATTGGACCTCTGTATCTCGAACATAGCAATGTTTTATTTTACAACCTTTACAACTCGATAATTTGAAACTTATAAGGTCTATAGTTCGAAGAAAATTAAGTGATCGACTTTAAAGATTTGCCGACAATGTAAGTACACCATTGTTTCTTAGAAAACAATTTAGGGGTATACAATAAGAATAAATCTTAACCTCTACAAGTCGAATCATAATCCGCCTAGATCAAAATCCTCCATAAGTTGAAAATTCTATAACTCGATTTTTTTGGCGTCTTTCTTGATGTTCGAGTTACAGAGGTTCTATTGTATTTGCATTTCACGCTTATATTACTGGGTTAGTCTCAATTTTTGTCTCTTGAAAATAATCAGAAGCATAAAATTGTACCTACTAGGATATGTTTGGTGTTTGGATTTGCTCGAATTCGGTTCCCGATGTAATACCATTTTTTACCTTTTAACCTGCCTTGACGTAAACAAATAATGTTTATTTTGTACGCATTTATTGCATAATACCTGGTAAAACTGATGTAGCAGGCAAATGGTGCACCCTCAAAAAGATGCATTAAAATGTGACCGAACTTCTCGAAGAAAGTTGCCGGGTCGACACCAACCGGAATTGATTTAGTACGTTATTGAGAAAGAAAAAAAGATTAACTAATCAGAATTAAATACTTTTTGTCTCTTGGCATGTTTTTCAAAAATTTTTTCGAGTTGTAGGTTGGTTGACCAAAATTTGACGATTTCAAAATTCGCATCCGATCTTTTACTGAGTCACTGCAAAACCAATGCTTCTTGTAATTATACTTTAACCTAAATTTTTTCTAATAAGGCATCGTTTCAGTTTCATTTTGAAATTATTAATTGAATCGTAAATATCGGTATTTCTTCTTCTGAAATTTGGATATAAAATTTCAAGGTGAAAATGAAGAGTTGCCTTATCACAAATCATATTAGGTTAAAGTATAGGCAATAGCGACCATTTTGATACTTGATAAATCAAGAAAGGTTTAGTACAAGCTGTGATGTGAATTTTTGAAATAGTCCACTTTTTAACGTTTTCAAACCTTACTACCCAAAAAGAAGCTAAAATATAAAACTGATATATTTTTGATCAGTTAATATATTTAATTAATCTCAAAGCGACTTTTTTTAACTTTACAAGTATTTAAGTTATGACAAATTACCTGTCATTCGGACAAAAAAAGTTATTTAGGTTCTTCTTTCCCAATAGTATAATAAATCCATTCCACTTCAGGACGTTTAGTGACTTTTTTATGCATCTTTTTAAGGGTACACCCCTCGCATATATGATTTATTCTCATCCTATTATAATTAATATCGAAAAATCGTATCGAAACTTTCGAAGTAACAATAGCAGTTCAGAAGGGTTGATCTTTAATACTAAATGCAAATTTGTGATCCTTCGGACTGTCCAGGGCAGTCCGGATTCAAATCACAATGTTAATCTTATTCTACTACATATTATGTAAATCAATTAGACCAAGGCAATTCTAGTACATGGATTGTATAAACCCTTTGTGTTTGGTTTATCTTCATGTTCAATTAATTCTCAAAATACAGGCATTGAAAGTTCACAATTGGGTGCATAATAGTAATTACTATTTTAATAGCCAAATTGATGTAACAATATCCTGACATTAATTACATCAATAATAATCAGAAATTTTAAATAATTAATAACAATGAAATATTTTGACATTTAATAGGGGTTAATATTAAATACCAATGTGAAAATTCATTTTAACTTTTTCCTACTATAAACTACCTCAGGATAATGAAGGAAAATTGTTGCTGTCGTCACACCCCCGCCGGGAATCGAACCTGGGACTTTTGCTTTTACGCACCAATGCTATGACCAGTAAGCTTAGTGTTCGGTTCGAGTTCGATTCCAGGCGAGGACGTGACAATAGCAACAATTTTCCCTCATTAACCTGACGTAGTTTATCGCGAGAAAAAAATTAAAATGAATTTTCACATTGGTAATTAATAATAAAACAAGGACCTCCCAAATTTTAATTTAATTTAGTGTTAAAAATACATCGATTGAACATGAATTGTGACTGAGAAATGCCATTGATATATGTGCATATAAATCAATTTTAGGTAATACTTGGAATACTATAAACTGCTCCTCTATTGAAAGTTCTGCAACTAATATAGCAAATAACACAAAAACTCCGGTGGAAGAATTTTTTGAGTAAGTACCCAACGTACCAAATTAGTTTACCACTAATTAAGATGCTACTTTCGATTTACAGCCGTAATGTACTTGGTATAACGGGAGGAATTGAGGATGTTGGAGGTATACAGTGGAAGCTACTAGTTTGCCTAATTTTTGGATGGACTTTTATCTATATTGTTATAAGAAACGGTTTACATCAAAGTGGAAAGGTAGATTCATACTCACATAAAAGTAGACGTTAATCATTACAGATTTTTTTTTCTTGAGAATGATTTAATAACATTCGCAGTCGAAAAATACATATAGTAATATTATTGAAAGATTGCGTATGAATCAGTTATTCAACGACATATGGCATACATCTTTCGTGGTGGGTAGTATACATAAAATGAAGTAGATGCTAATACGTTGAGAAAAAGTATTTGCTTGGACCTACTTGGTTTTACATACACATAAGTACTCACTACATTTCAAAGCAAATATTTCGTCAGCAAGATAAATGCTACACTAAGGTAGCTACTACAGAGGGCTATACAGGTAGTGTTGTACGTATAATTACTCCCAATACTGTACACTGATGCATATTCACGACCATACAACTTTCAGCTTAGATATACGGCCTCCTCATCATAATAAGCATAAGACTGCTTGGACACGCACTTCTACTCTTTTCTATCATGAGCTAATCTTCGCATTTCCACAAAACTAGAACATCCCACATCCTTAACTATTTGTGAACAGTAATCTAATCTAGGTCTACCTCCTCTACTACTTTTAGCTCCAGTTTCTGCTTCTAATATGCCTGTGACTAGCCCTTCATGCCTGGGAAGGTGTCCTACCAACCTATCCCGCCTATATCTTATTGACTACCATTGAGTCCTCTATTCTTCTATCCTTTCTAATATCTCTTCATTTGTAATATTCTCTATCCACGGTATCCTCATCATTCGCTTGTAACACCACATTTCTTTTAGATCCTCCTTGTTTTTCTTTTGCCTTCATTTCTTCCTTTTTTACGGTCTTTATGAATTCGTAGTGTACTAACGTTGTAGCATCTTTTCTCTCTTATTATAAATAATTTTCAAAGATTTCCATTTCTCTTCACCATCTGTAGAACTTGTTCATTTGTCTTCTTATCCGTCCAGCAAATCCTTTCCATTCGCCTTCAACAGCACATTTCAAAGGCTGCCAGCCATTCTCTATCACGATGTGCCAACTCCTGTTTCTGCTTCTAATATGTCTCTGACTAGACCTTCATGCCTGAGAAGGCGTCCTACCAACCTATCCCGCCTATATCTTATTGACTACCATTGAGTCCTCTATTGTTCTATCCTTTCTAATATCTCTTCATTAGTTATCTTCTCTATCCACGGTATCCTCATCATTCGCTTGTAACACTACATTTCTCCTAGACCTTCTTTGTTTTCCTTTTGTCTTCATTTCTTCCTTCTTTTATAGCCTTTATGAATTCGTCGTGTACTAATGCTGTAGCATTTTTTCTCCCTTATTATAAGTAATTTTCAAAGATTTCTCTTTTTCTTCAGCATCTGTTGAACTTCTTCATTTGTCTTCTTATCCGTCCAGCAAATCCTTCCCATTCGCCTTCAACAGCACATTTAAAAGGCTGTTAGCCATTCTCTATCACGATGTGTCATCGTCCATGTTTTTCCAACTTTTGCTGGCGTTCTTAATGCTTATACAGCACCTACATTAAGTAACCTTATGTAGCTTCTGTCATATCTTCAGTCTTCAGCAAATTTCTGAGTGCAACATAATATTAGTAACGCTCTTACGGCTGGCGTCGTATATTAAACAACCCTGTGTGGTTTCCATTCCTAACTAGTCTTTTTAGTCATACTAATAAAATCATTTGATGTCTATGGGACACTAATGCTCCCTATTTGGAATAACTTTTATTTACATATACAGAGTTAGCGCTCTTTGTGCAGTCTTCATAATCTACAACCCTTCATGGTAGCAAACATTGTATTTTCTACTATACAAATTGTCATTACTTTTTAGATTGGTTGATGACATAAGCGCAATCTTTCAGTAATTTTATAATGTCTACCTGCGAGTATTGTTAAGTCATTGTGGATTATGTGCCTATAAGAAACTTCATTTTTATTTATAAGAATTGCTCTTTATAATTTATAANCGGGTTCAAATTGTAATTTTTATTATTTTCGCTTACGAAGCAATGGGCTAGTGGGATAAATTGTAAATATCGGTTGAATATTTAGGTAAATTTTCTTTTTTTTTTTTTTTCTATATGTTGTTTACTATGGTCTCCCTTAACCATAAGGGTTAAGTTTCCTTCAGTATTGTAAGGATAACGAAACGGCAGACAGCGCAACTTTTGATGCTCATGTATAAAAAGACGAAGTGCTTACAAGTATGTATCCTTGAACTTTAAAAGGATAAATAAATCAATTCAATGCAATATATCAAAACTTCAAAAAGCAAGGATCTTTTTTGTATCATAAACAAACGACTTATGATCCGACCCGTGTTCATTATTTTCGCGACAATCTTAAATCAGGAGACAATCTTAAATCAAGAGTAACTAAAACTGTTGATAACAAGGGATTATTGTTCGATAACAATTTATAGTAATGTCACGACTTTTACTAAAGTTTTTAAGTTTTTAAAATGCACCTACCTAGTTAAAGTTTAAAATTTGTTTATAAAATATGCATGTAATAAATAGGTAATCGTCAAGAGTCTCTCTGTTGAAATAGTAACTGTTTTAAAATAGTACGTCCTTAAAATCTCAACAAGGACATTACTGTCCAACATCAGCCGCGAAAGCCCTTATCAGCTTATTATTATAAAATTTCTATTAAGTATATTTGGTAAGGTGATATACGATTTCGTCATTTTTTTCTGAAATTTCCGCTAACATTTCCTTTTTATACTGTAATAGTAATATAAATGTAGTTGATTTTTGTTAGTTAAATTTTACTGAGTAAATCAATACTGTTGATTAGATACAGAAAAAGCTTTGCCGCAGAATTATAAATCATGGTACTGATCTGTATCTTATCATTAATATTAAACATAAATGATTGAAAATGATGTATTACATGTAGGTTACTCCATTATTATATGGCAATTATATGGTTGCAAGACCTCTAAACGTATAATAACCGAGTTGCAAAAATTAGAGTCGGAAGTTGTAATTACAAATTCTACGAAATCCGGTAGCGTTCCTTTTTGTATGTTACGCACTTATCAAATTAATATATATATAGTTATTTATTTGCTGGGAAATTCTCGTTTGGGATACGTCGGAATGAAGGTTAGTTACATACCTAATTATTTTCAAGACATAATTCTAAAGCTTATAAAATTTTTTCTCAAATGATATTTGCTGCTAACGGTACATTTCTAACTTCCATTTCTTCCTAGTTTTTCCAATGAAACATGAAATCAAGACCATATAGGGTGCAAAATGATTTTTTTATTGTAAAACCGATTACCTATATTTCGCCTAGAAAAGAAAGCTTTTTAAAGGCTATAATAATGTATTATTTGTACGTTGTTAAGATTATTATCTAAATTATTTAGTATCTACCTACATCGGATTATTATTGACCAAGAACTCAATTTTTTTTTTTCATTATTACGGTTACGTGCATCGCAGATTTAGTTTGTTGAGTACATATATCTTTATAAGGCTTTACCAATTATTAAAAATCTACTCTTAAAAGAAAGTATCAGTCGATGACGATGTATTATCGTTTGCTTAATATTATATCATCTTATTTTTACGAAACAACTTCGGTTGGGTCGACAATTGATTGAGATTGCCTATATGCTTATGGAGTGCTGATGAGGACCAATAGGTCCAAAATCGCGATACACGTCTGGTGGTTTTGATAAATAGTTATCTATTTATTGTAAGTTCTTGGTCAATATGCTATGAATTTACTAACAATGTTCTATAAAAATTAAAGCTTTTTAGTAGTTATTTCGTACTGGTATTATAACTCTTTTAAAGCAAGTAATATAAAAAATTAAGGTGCTTTGGTAGAGAATTAGTCTGATTAAATGATAAAACCGTAATAATAATCTAGATCGGTTGAATTACAATGCTAGAATAACAAACCAAAAAGCGCTTAATGCCTTTCTGTAATTACCTACGTCAATCTAAAACGAATAATGTAGAAACTGTTGAAAATTTTCTACTTCGCTAAGAATTTATTTGAATGACTCTTAATGAGCGAAAATACCTTAGGGAAATTAAAAAAATCTCCAATTGTATCAAGAGATCCAGTCAAGTTGAATTAAGAACTCGATCGTTTAAGTAAAGAAAAAAGGAACACAGAGGCGATTGCTTAGGTGAAGACGGTGTAGGTATTCGCCTATTTTTTGGATAACATTGAGAATTTCTTTCAGAAAAAAATTTATACTTTAAAATAAATACGTATTCCTTTAAGTATTTGTGAATATCTAAAAAAATGTAAAAAAATATAAATTGACCAAAGTAAAAGAAAATGTAAGCAGTTATTGGAAGTATCGCTTACAATTAGTAAGAATAATAAAGAAGTTACTGTTTAAAGTAAGTGCAGTTTAATAATTCAATTTAATATTTCGAATATGTTTCACTTAGGTAGGTATACAATATAAATTATCTAAATCTGAATTTTAGATTTCATTGTCCAGATATACCTAAGCAAAATGTCAATATTCGTTTATCGGATCATAGGTATTAATTTTGAAAGGGACAAAAAGTTTGATGACTTAATAAACACATATTTAAACCTTTAGAAATGTTAATTATTTGCGTTACATATAAACGATCTCTCAAGAGTATAATTTAATTTTTTAAATACTAACGTTAATATATGATACAAAACTCGCGCACTGAGAGGATTTTCTATTTTATTTACTTCAGCCACTTGTTTTCAGCCAGGAAACACCGTTGGACTGATTTAGAAATATTAATTTACACAAAAATTGTTATTGAAAAGATCGTGCCGTTTTAACGATTCGTTATTTATACAAAAAAGAATGAAATGTTTTGATATTTTATCAATCTTCTTTTAAAGAAAGTTTACGTCTCGTAAGTCATTGTTATTATAAATTAGAGGAAAAGTAAATTTTGCTGACAACTATCGTTGGTGTTCGCACAGCTGTCCTTCCAATCGATAAATCAAATTAAATTTAAACACGTACTGCCAAAAATGCCTGATGTATATCACGA